TGCGTCGTCTCTGCTTCTCTCTCTCTCTCTCTCTCTCTCTCTCTCTCTCTCTCCCCTCCCTCTCTCCCCTCTCTCTCCCCTTCCCTCTCTCCGTGAAGGTGATTCATATCTCTAGTACATGTATCAGGACATAAGACCTTTATATCAGCTCTTATACTATAATTATATTTAGTGGCTTCAGTAAAGCTGGTAGACCACAGTGAACAGACTTGGCATTCACTTGAAGACTTGGGGTTCTCTCATGAGTTGGGTTTTTTACTTGTCCTTTCCAGAATGTTTGCCCTCTTGGTCAGATGGTCTTTCACCATTTTGTCTTTGATTATAATGCCTGATGGTTTGTGTTTTTTAACCCTTTCCGTACGCCCTGGGCTCATTTTGTACCCCTGGGGTTGTATCCTTCACATTTTAAAATACTTCTAGTACGAAGATCTCTTTGAAACTTTCAGTATTTCTCAAAAATTACTTTTGACAGACTGCTATGCAAAGCGTACGGATCAGATTAACAAGTAAATTTGCTCTTTAGAAAGTGGTGGCACAGAGGTCCCCTCGTCGTATGGATACGATAGTAAAACCCGACTTTCGAATAGGGTTAAACATCTGAATACATCATGCACCTTCCTCAAGTATCCCCTATAAATCATCTATGAAAATGGCATAATTTTTAGTACTCAGACATGAAAGATTATGCCCTTATAGTTAGGAGTTAACCCTTCAAGAGGGGAATTAATTTACACTGTCCTGTCCCCCAGAGGTGGGTCATGAAAAATGCTTATAACGTCCTTATTTTTTATGGTAGAAATATAAAGCAAACACCATTGAACTGGAAATTGTATAGCGCATGGCCCCGCTCGAAAGCATGCTCTATGTGCTTTACACTGTATTATTACCCCAGCAGACCATAAAATACTCAGAAACATTCTCAGCTTCCTGGGAAGCGTACAGTGCAAGCTGCTGGTTAAAGTGCTCAAACACTAACAAATTGATAAGATCTTTCACTGTCTATAGCTGGGTACCCATTCTCACCTGGGTGAAGTAGGGAAAATTCGTGTAATGTGTCCTTCCCAAGAACACATCGGGGCCCGCGGCTCGAACCCCCGAACCCCAACCTCACAATTACGAGTCCGGTAGCCTAGCCACTAGGCCACCGACGCTAAAATCCATTAATATTTTCAAGTATAATTACAATTTTGGAAGCTATTTTCAACAACAAATTACTTCCTTCATAAGAGAAGTGAGACTAGGAGAAGGCAGGTACGAGAAGTTCAGTACCTACTATTATTAATGACGGAATGCATACGCTCTGATTTAGCTTTGTTTTTACTTAGGGGACATTCAAATATAATCTTACGCCTGGAACCAATGTAATATTACAATTTATTTGGTCCTGAGGTGTTTACTTATCGGAAATCCACTGTAACTTGTTTTATTTGTAATCAAGGCACTGTTGACGTTGACATGAGTCTTAATTTTTTCCTTATTTGTAAGAAAGAGTGTAAGCAATATTTTTCTTGAATGATTTATACTTTATTGGTTGTTTTTTTTAGTGAATGTAGAACTGCATATATTTTATACATATGCATACATAGTGTGTATGCATGTTTTTCATAAATAATATTATGTAAAGCGCAAAGAACAATGATTGTAAATTATAAAAATAAGGGAACAATGTTATTTTACGGGGGGGGGGGGGGCACAAAGTCCCCAGAAAGGTTTAAGATTATATTTGAATAGCCCAGCATTAGGTTTTGGTACTCTTGATTAATGGTGGGTGAATTGGCCCGCATACAACAGAGAGGGGTCCAATCGGCCAATTGTGGGCAGTTTCTCAGTTTGAGGGTTAAACTTTTTGGACTTGTTTTAGGTTTCGGTTTTGTGACTTTTTAGACATCGTTACTTCATGTTCTTTCTTTATTTTCTTGTGACTTTTTGATGTTTGAGCAAGCACAATTTGTTTTGGAAAAATTTTTATGAAGTTAGTGCGTCTTTATATGTCATGAGGTTTTTATAATGTACATTTGTGTGTATATATATTGTATAATATGTGTATAATATATAACTTTTGCATCCTTAAATGTTTTAACCTTTCTTTTGACTTTGCTAGTTGTTGTAAAACTGTGTTTATCGTGTGACAGCAAAATATTTGAGGGGAATCCACTTGAGTGAACGTTCAGCTTGTCCGGTTGATGTCAGTGAATATCAATCAGTAGCCGGGGCTATGTTGTCAGCAACCCAGGATCAAATTCCAAACTCTTGAATAGAAAACGTAGTTAATTGATGTAGTGACTTCAAGTTGTATTATGCTGTGAGTGACCCTTTTCCAAGTACCCTCTGGGAATCGTTAAAAGTTAAAATTGGTTTACTATGAGGGGAGTCTTGCAGCTCTCCCCGTTCATTCATTTTGGTTGCGTTACTGTGGTCGAGATGGATGTTTACCCTCAAATTAATTTTCGGTCAAATGTACCCCCGCTCTTCAATGAGCCGTCTGTAAATCTGGGATACAATGCAGATTGTACTTCTTTACTCTCTCAGTTATGTCTGTCTGTCTGCTCAGCTTTTTGCTCTTCTTAGCCTTTATTGATAGTTGTTGCGTCAATTCTGTTTTTTTATCTCAGGAAGATGGAAATCACTGTCTACCATCATCCCATATGTGTATATTATATATACATGTAGAAGTACAATTAGTGCTCTCATTTTAACTTCATTTCAAGCATTAACACCCTCTTTAAAATTCATATGCTGCATTTCTGTGAGCGAACAGCTGTACAACCCTATATAATATTTTTGCCTGACTGTAAGTTAATAGTAGGCCGTCTTCTTGGGGTGGGGGGTAAGGATGGTCGGTCTATCTGTTTTGCTTTTTCCTGAAATTGATTTTAATATGCATGGTTTGTCGATAAGTCTACTGTGAATATCTCATTATCATTGTCGTGAATGTTTTTTCCTGTTCAGAATGAAGAAAAAATTGTTACATATATATGTACTATGTACTACCAACAATTTGTTTGGAGTCTGCTTAACTCACTTCAGACGGTTCACACAACAGTTGCGTGACCCCCGCCGCGACGACTCCCACAAGCCCTGCGTGACCAACTTTGGAATTTTTTTTTCGTTGTACAAATCACGCACGGATCGCGAGACCTGCCTCGTACCCTTGTTTGGCCAAGCCTGAGCTACTTAGACTTCGTTTCGTATCTCTGGGGCCGGTAGTTTTTAAGTTATTGAAGGTGACCCCAACAGTCGCGTCGTAGTAACGGTCGAAGAAGTCGCATGAACAAGAATCACATA